TAGTGTTTGTACTCAAACATTCACAAACAATAACTTACTACAACTTAACAAAATTTTTGAAAATAACATTCATAAAATGTATTTCATGAATTACAAAATTGTGGCAAAATTGATTACTAGCCTAAAGTCATTTGGTGCTGTATAATCACCTAGCAGTAGCAAAATATTCACTTTATCAATTTAATCAAAAGGAACAACTGAAGGGCACAGATTTGTAAGTGCACTACAAACTCGGATCACCCTGTCTACTAATGGGCATGAGCTTGACCTTGTAGCCAGCAAATAATCAATGGGAAGAGTTCCTTGTAACATCGTGTACTTCTGTCTTAGCAGACCAATAACTTGTTCAACATGAATGCGCACATTGGCTATTCCCCTGGTTTTTTCTACTGAATGAGGATCAAACTGATTTTTTCCCTTAGTAAAAACTGGAATAGCAAGTCTTGCTTGATGAAGGGCGAGGCTCTCTTCAATTGTAAAGCCCCTATCTGCCATGACCAGGTCACCTGGCTTCAAGAGATCTAACAAACCACAGTTATCTGTGAGGTACTTGTCTGAAGTCCTCCCTCCCCATGCTTTCGACAAAAAACTGATTTTTCCTTAGGGTGTGATGCCAATGAGAACTTTTACTGTGTTGTGATGCTTGCAGTGAGAGAATGTCTGAGCCCTTGCTAGCAAGTTAGACGGCCGTTCAATTAATATCTCAAAACAGTCAATAATGATTGTTGTCTTTTTGACAAACGAATACTGAAAGCACATTGGCATTGTACGCCAAAGTTCCTCACGCTCAGGCCAATCAATCAGTGGTGAAAGGCGTACATCTAGAACAATCATCCAAGATGAAAAAATCCTTGAAACAGTAGACAAAGAAACATCAAATCTAAAGGCAAGATCTTGTTTTGGAACATTCAGCCTCAACTTCATCAAAGTCAGGGTTATTTCCTGAAATGAGCTCAATGTTTTTGTCCTTCTTGTAGCATGTGAAGCAACAAAATCGACTAAATGTTTTAAGACATCAAAACCAGACAAACCTGTATAAAATCTGACTTTTTCAGTTGAATCTCTGAAATAATCTTCAGTAAATGGTTGCACCTTTGTTGGGTGAGGACTCGTTCACAACATCCATAAGTAGGTCATTAAAATTCAGTGACGACACACATCACGTGTATCACGACATCACGACGTACGCGTGACACTGTTTGGTTGACGTACGCATTGGTTGTATCGGAGGAAATATGGAACTTTGCATCGGAACAAAGCTACTTTGAAACATTTAGAAGGCTAAACTATATCTTAAATTGTCAGTAAGTTAGATACAGAAGTAAAAAAGAACCAGAAAGCCAATTCGTGAGCGAATGTTGACCTACTTCTGAATGTTGTGAACTCCATTTACCACGTGAGAACTGTCTCGTTCACAACACTTGAAAGGAGGACTTCAAAGAAGTTAATTTTCTGTATTCGATGACATTTTCAAGAAATATGAGTCGACCTAGGAAAGTATTTACACATTTACCAATCATTAAATGAAATTACAGTCGCCTGTAAAGTAAAATAAAAATGTTATTATTGAACTGAAATGTTCTCTTTTTCATTGTATTGTGTTATTGTTTTGTTTCTCTCCTTTTTGTGGGGTTTTATTGGTGTTTCCCCTCTTATCATAATTTAAAATAGATTAGTTGTCCTTTCTTGTCACCGATTGGATGAATGACTAACTGTGACGTAAATTTCGCGGGTTTTTTCGTAATTCTCTCTGAGTTGACCTGTGTGTAAAGAGCGATCAGAGCAATGGAGAAAGTGACCGTTCACAGTCTACAAGAAGCCTTGGAAGCAATAGAGAGCTATGAAAGACGGACACTTACAAAGTWCACTTGCACAAGAGTTTCAAAACATTTCGGGAACACCGGTAAGTCAGGTCGTTCTGAAATCCCGGGAAAATGTCGTGACCCCAGATTATGCTATCACCTCAATTAAGGCCCTTAATTCGATTTACCAGGTGTGATCTTGACCGGAAACATACCTTGCAAATGTCGGAATGTCTTTGTTGCATCGCATAAATGTGTTATCCGTACCTGTTGAATGTGATATCTTTATCGCATTCACTTAGTCATTCAGGTACAAAGCAACACAAGTCGCACGGCAAAGCTACCACTTCAAATAAGGGACGATCGTTAGCATTTTTCTTTTATTTCTCTATTTGAGAAGTACATTATCTTTTTGATATGTCACTTTCGTTCGATTGTCCTTTTAAAATCAGCTTTCTGCTCATTGGCAAAACTTAACTTGTATGTCAGCAAAGCCTAATTCATGCCCATTGAATCCAATTAGAAATTCATTTATCCCTTCACTCATTCATTCATTTACTCATKAATGAAAGGTTAAATCAATATTTATTATATGAGCGAAAATACAGCTACCCTGACTTTATATTATTTTCGATGCTGACATATAAGTTAAAAGCGTAATTAAGCTTAAATATTAAATATTTCAATATTATTTTAAGATTCTAAGGCTTTGAATATAATACATGTGTCAAATCCATAATTACAGTCTATAATTTGATCTCTACTTTTGAATTGCATTCAGCTCATTTGAGATTTATGGCCTAAAGTAAAGAAAAAAAAATTACTCCTAATAATCTGGTAGAATTGATGCTAAAAGTGTATAAAACAGTTTAAATATTTAAATAAAGTAATCTGCATACTAATACTTCGCTTTAACATCATGCTACATTTAGGTGGGGTTAACCTATTGTATTTTATGTTATCGATTGCATGTGCTCACACGTTAGGCAGGGATAGACATAGGGGAATGGCTATAACCTTAACTCTAGAGGTGAAGTTGACTGTAAGTCTACCAAAATGTAACAGTGTATTATATGACTGTGATCAACCTACAGACCCTTCCYCCAAAGCTCATAAAGTCTTTTGGAAAGGATGCACACCTTACATAATACTGGGCGAGAAACTGATGGAGTGTCAKCATGGGAAAGACCGCAATGTTGCTGCAAAAAAGAAGTACCATGACCACGTAGTATGTATCTAGAGAAACAAAACGAAAAAATTAATCCCACAACAATTTGCTTTTAAAATATTTATATGATTTTATGCCATGACTAATTAATTAGATAATACAATTAACATAAATTATGTTTAAAATATTTTGTGCTTTACATGCATCAGGAGTTCCAATGCAAGGAAACAATAGATTCTGCCATCTTAACGTGAGCACCAAAAATCAATATTCAATTATATTCTTGTCTTAACTAAGATTTACAAGGTGCTATGGTAATATAATGTATATACTATTGCAACCAGTTGGTTCATGCAGTGCATTCAATATAATTTCTTTATATCACTGGTCATATTGATATTTATGGATATTTATGATTACTTATATTTATGATATTTATGATTACCATTAGATGGCGGAATCTACTGTTCTGATGCATATAATTGTATGACAAGTAGTTGATTTTTTGACATACAGCTAGTCCACGCGTGAAATAACAGCACACAATGTTAGTATGTCATAATAATRTCTTTATACATGTATAAAAGAAAGTGGAATAGCTTTTCTTCTTTGAGAATGTGCCTAATATTTGTCACTCATGACATGAATGCATGATTTTTTTTTCCAGAAGGATTCATTTGACCATGGATACATCAAAAGAAAAAGAAATCTTGTACAAAATACCAAAAAAATGGACTGTGAGTCTAGAATYGTTATGAAAGAGGAAATGCTGTACTGCAGCTACAAGGTTTGTGCATATTTCATAACAATACATTTAATTAATTACAATACAACAAATATAATTCAAAGAATAACAAACTGGGGTTTTACTACATCTGGAAACAAAAAATTAAAACATGCAGGACCCCAATGCCAAGCACTTTTTAAAATGTGCATGCATCGCTTACATGTCTTTGCATTAATGCCACCTGCAATGTACTATAATGCAATACCACCTTTCTAAACAATTTGATTTAATGCTTGACCATGAATTTGGAAATACATTTGGATTTTTCTATAAGCATTTGCAAAACTTATATTAAATGCCTTCTTTTTTTAAATGTAGATTTCACAGATAAGTCAGTGGAAATGCAAGACTGCATCGAAAAAATTGAAGGCTGACATAGCAGCAGGTGAAGCAATACCTGGAGTAAGACAAATTGTGATCCAGTCCCCTGCTGAGAACAGTCACAATAATCATTTTTATGGAAAGGTAGGTGATCCCAACAACGAAATTAATAAAGCATCACATAACACCAGATGATTGTACAAGTCATGTAG